TTATAAGGTATTGTGTTAATTGATTAATTGCTAGTGTTTGTGTGTGTGTGTGTGTGAACTTGCTACAGTTTACTTGGCATGAAGGGAAAAATACATTAAATATGAACGTAGTTAAACAAGTGACAATATTATCTTTTTGTGTATCTGTATTAATTTATAATGTATTCGTATAAATGTTTGATTGCAATATTTTTTTAAATTAAGGAAGGCTGGAAGGTTACGAGATACGTTGATCGGGCGTTTTGAAATATTCTTAAATAAGCTATGTCTTCAGATCCCACCTCCAAACGGCTCAATAATAGGTCCAGGTTCAACAATTTAGGTCATACAAGTCACTTTAAAATGTATGAAGTATGAAACTGATTAATATCTCAAAAAACTGCAACTTTCAACTTAATAAGCCGATAAATTCACAATTTACTGACATCGTAACGTAATAAACCAAAAAAGAAATATTAATATATTTTTTAAAGTTCAACTTAATATTTATAAAAAAATAATCAGCCCGCAATTCACACCTTTACGGGTCATAATTATATAATAAATAACAACATGAATATATTATTTTGAGCGCAATATTTTATTTAAATTATAATTATAATCGGCCACGGAATCGCACCTTAAATGCTACTGGGCGTTGCCAACATAACGCGAGCGATGCAAAATGGCGGACGTTCGAAAAAAAAGAATAATTGCATGTTATAATTGAGTTAAATTGTTTCATTACTTCACCTGTTAATTCCACAAACATACCCACGCAGCTCGTTAAACTCAATCAATCGATTTACCGCCTTATTACGGAGGAAAAAGACGCCTGTTTGCTAAAAAAAACTTTTGGTTAACAGTAAAAGTAAAATGGTTTAGACATATGGAAAAATAAAGGTAGTGTCAATGTGCGAAGGGTTTCCTTCGATATTGCGAAAATATACTCTGTACTGCGAAAAATAGAGTTGAAAAATGGTCGGACAGGGTTATTTTAATAATTGCAACAGTATAATTATGTTGTCAAGACATTTTTTTTAATAATGAGCTTCAACTTAACCGCGGTCGCGTTGAAAGATCGAACCTGTTTGCTTCTTAAGCTAAAGCGAATGATTACGAAATTCTACGAGATTCTTTAATGTCCATTAAAATCATGCTTTTACAAGAAATAGCTTGCGAATCAAAATGGCGGATTGTAAGGGTAACGATCTTTAAGTTATCTGTGGTAGCACTCGGTAGTAGCCGGTAATGAGGTTCTTTCGAAAAAGATTATTATCTGTGCGACGCATAGACAGCCAGGATGCATTTAAAATTGTCGTTCACCATTTTGTTTCTTGTAATTTCGTATCTTTTTGTTTTGTGTTACTGTTTTGCATTTTAGAAACGCATTTTCCCTGACTAACGTCTGACGAAGGCAATGTAAGTCGGTCACTCCCATTGTCATTCGACACAGACCTCGCAAATGTAAAAAATAACTTGGGTATTGACTTTTTCCGTTAATTTTTATTGTTTCTATTCGATCAGTCTCCCGCCGGACCACCTATTCAATCGGGATTTAACGATCCCAAAACCCCACTTGGGCAAAGAATCCCACTTGCTATATATATCTTAAAATATAATAAAATCTAAACACAAAGTCTACAATTTAAAAACAAAAATCTGGGCTGTCAAACACTGAAGCAAAAAATTCTAATTTCACTCAACTACTCACAAAAATCACACAATCATACTAACAAATAACAAAATATTAAATAAGCTACCTACAAGCCATTGTTTTTCAAAGAAAATTCACATTAGAATTATTGTTCCCGTCATTTTCCCGCGTCAATCCCGTTGACAGCTGTCAGGCCGCCATCTTGTTGACACGGAATGTCAACGGTTTATTGTATTCGCTCCAAAGTTTAAATTGATGTTGTTTTCATTGTAATAAATGCAAATATTGAAATTGTAAGGCTTGTGGGATCAAATTACTATTTATTTGTTTTGTGTCTACTTATTAATTAATTTATTGTCAAGGTAAGTAATCAATGTATTTAATAAACTGTTTTTTTTTTACTTTACGGCGGAAAATCCTCATTTGTTTCTCTGAGAGGGCTATCAGTATCTTAATGACTAGAAAACACCCTAATGCCGTCGATTCTAAACTGAGCGCTTGAGGATTTTTTTATAATTATTATTATTTGTTTTCTCGACAGTCAGTTTACTTAAGCTACATATTATAATTTAAATCTTCTCCAAACATTTCTAAAACAAACTCCAGCAAATTTTAACATACTCTGTAACATATTAAAATTCTTTAAATTAACATACAATACATTACAAAAAACAATAATGTGTTAAACATGATGACAGACAGACATACAATCGTAGTTTGAATATATTATTAACGCGCAATACTAATGGTTGAAATAAATATTTATTTTATTTTTTCGAACAGTTGTAATTTGTAATTGTAGATATTTAATTTTAATTAACACTGTTGCACTGTTGACGTATTACCTAGACAATCGGTGTCGTGCATAGGTTTCGGACAAGACACCGCGAGGTTCGGAATGCAATTCTGTTGATCACACAGGCCACAAACTGTTGTTACAGGTCTCTGTGTGATAAGCAACTAAATATGTGCGATTAGTGTTTGTATACGCACTCAGGATGCTGGCAAAAACCCTGGGGTTGACTGTGTGTAGCTGCGTTACTGCATAAGAGGAAATCGCGTCCGTCGATTATAAAACACATGTCAGGAAAATTATTAGGTTTTGGGAACTAAAACTTGCCTTATAATCTCATTCGTTGTCTAAACGCGAATGTTTCGTGAGAATTTTGCACCTTGGGATTAAAGAAGAGTTTGGGGTTACACAGAGGTGCACATTACGGTACTTAATGCCACTGTACAATGTAACACTCACTTTTGACTATTTATGTTATGAGTCCCATGTAATAGGGGGTGAGTCATACACCGGGCACAATTCCAAACTCCGTGCTACTACTGAGAATAAAAAAAAAAATCCAGTAATACTTTGCCCGACCCAGGAATCTAAGCCAAGACCCCTTGCCCGGCAGTCGCACTTGCGACCACTCGGCCAAAGAGACAGTAATAGGTAAATTCAATAATAATTAGAATTGGATAAACAATAAATATATTCTCAGACAAGACTCATAATCACCTTCAAAGCTTCAACAAATCTTAGTATAAAATATTTACCTATATACCAAAAAATATATATATATAAAAAAAAGGATTGCTAAAAGCCTTATTTGTCTAACTACTAACACTAGGTAACTAGATTTTTGACCCCAAGACATGTTCGCACATTTATTTTGACATGCACTTTCACCGGACGAAAGCTTTTTCGGACACTCCGTTTTCTAATGTCAAACTGACAGGTCAAATTTTGACAGGTCGACGTCACTTATATTTATTAGCGTCAAAGATGGTTACGTAGATAAATTCGCTAATTTATATTATTAACTAGTCTCATTCGCATGTAATATAAGAAAAAGAATTGGTCACGCAACTCAACTAATAAGAATATCTCGACCAAAAAGTAGAATAACATACTTTCAACCGCATTTTTCCAACTTTAGGATAAAAACCTCACCGGCCTGTCATACTCCTTTATGCAAATCTTTAAGTTCCTACATCTGACCCACAGATACAGTTAATTATTCATTTATAGACAAAAATAACAAAGAATACTCAGACCTCCTGATCAACTCAATTATGTGTTCTAAGCTACTAAGTTAAGCGCTACTTACAACGAAATATCCGTACAAGATAACAATGATACAAAAAACTGTAAAATTCTTAAAAAAAAAACAAAAAATATTTAGTTGAAATATTTTTTCCGAAGTAGAGCACCTTCTTGTGCGTAATCTCCAAGCGACGGGATGCCAATGAGCCTAAGCTACTCTTTATCGTTTTTGAAGATAAACGTCCAGTTTAGTGCTTCCCTGACACGAATCATTAAAAATAATGTTATTTCGGCTATCCTCAGATCGATTGCGAATTAAAACAAAGCTGACACCTAAAATCGATTACCTACCGAAAAAAAAATCCGTAAATAAAAAATATAAAAAGTTTGTAAAAACGAGCAAAAACCTACTTTACCTATTAAATTCTATATTATGCTTTATGTATCGCATACATGTAAAAATAAATAAAGAAAATAACCTATTATTACCAAACGACATTTTTTCCGGCGGCCATAATTATTAAAAACAATGTCAAAAAAAAAAACAAAGAATAACCCACCTAGATAGGCCACTTCAAATTGAACGCCGAACAAAAAAAAAAAACAAACAACGAATTAAAAATTTAAATGCAATAAAGATGTCGTATGAAGGCCTAGTTGTATTTTCATAAAGAACGCCGCGTTCAAACAGGAATTAATTTAAAGAATAAAACATCAATGTTTTGAATAAAATAAATATGGAAGTCCATTACATGTGTTGTGATGTGTCAACAGGCATAAACTACGGCGTACAAAGTTACGGATCATTTCTTTTAACGTATTCAAAAATATACAATAGTCCTGAGGGCTCATTGTCAAAATATTTATGTATGTTTTTGTCCAAGCGACATATTTTAAAGTTGTTTAATGTCTATGGGACGCGGTCGAGTTTTTAAATTGGTTTTGGAATAGAAAGAGGTATTGGAAATAGATAGGTATGATAACATCGGCCCATAAAACACGGAGTAAGTTACTTGTTTCCATGATACTAAATATGTATATTAATATTTCATCATCAAACTTGCGCATAAAAAACTTTATTTTAATTAAGCTCACACCTTAGTAAAAAAAATATCTCCACTAATTCGATAACAATTCACAACTGTGTCAAGAGACCGCAAGTAAAGTGCATAAATAAAAAAAAATTGGACCCGGTGACACGCTGTCAAACTTTTTGTAAAAAAAACTGCACTTGCCACAGAGAAAAAAACACCTGTCACATGGAATAAACAATGACAACACAAAAAAGGTTGGTTGCGGATGAAGAAAAATGAAATTGTTACTTACCAGAGCTAGGCCGATCACTGTATCTAGTGCAATAAACCCAAGCTGGCCATAATGTCCCGTTTCCTGACTGACTATTTGTATCTGTACTCCCACAAGTCGATAAAGCACCACTCGACGTTGAAGAAACCACAGAACTTGCTGAATCAGGCCTTTTCTGATTCTCTATCACCTTAGGCATCTCCCTTTCTTTAGGAACCTGCTCCCCAATTTGGGAAACCGTCTGTCGTAAGCCCCCAAGTGGCGGTAAGGACCCAAACTCCGACTCTTTAGATTTAAGGTAATCGAAACTGTATTTTTGAAAATCATTTTGTGGTTTCGATAAGTCGTAGGGTTTATATAAAATGCTGTGGTTGGGCCCAACTTGTTTGGGACCTTCGATCTTGTTCGTTTTTCTTAACGCATTAAGTCCGAATTCAGGGTGTAGGATGTTATTGATTGAGAAGGCTATAGGCACAGACGGTTGGGGCCTTTGTGCCCTTAATTTATCATTCTCAAACCGCTGATCTTCTATTCCTATCTGAGGTTTCACATCAGGCGTTTCAGGCCTGTAGTAGTTTTGGAATCCGTCCATCTCACTCTGATTCATAGGACTTGGGGGCGGAGAGTTTGGTTGCACTTTGACTATCGTCATATTAGGGGAGGTTCGCTCATATCTCGAATCTATCGTGGTGCAAGTATACTGACTTGGTGGGCAGTAGCTCATCGGTGTCTCAGGGTGTGGAGCAGGAACTCTTCCCGTCACTGGCCCAGGACTGTTCGCCTGGTTCGGACTGCAACGATCTTCGAACGCCATCTCACTTATACAGCTACAAGTTTATTATACGGCACAGTTCACAAATAAATATAGTCAGTTCATCTGAATGCACATTAATATTTATCGAAATCGATTAGCATGATTTCTTAATTCTACCGCACTAGTTTTTTGAGGCAAAGGGCGCGTGATGGACAGCCACAGCTGTCAGATTGAAATGTCAGTTGCGTGTGACGCGTGCACTAGTCCCGACGGCCGCTGCCGAGTGACTGCTCCCCTCGCCGCGTCGTGAAGACACGCCCCCGAACAAACAAGCTTTTTACCCTTCCCCATTCGTTTTGTAGGCGTTAACCGTTCGCTTTTCATTGCTCGACAACATATTTTATGTGCTCCATCCTGTTTTAACTTACACGCTTCGGTGTAAGTCGAAAGAGACGGATGTATGACAATTGATTTAACCTGAGTGTGTATTTAGTGGGGCTTCGACCAGATTTGTAATTCAGTTGTAAATTGGCTCTATGGCTCTTTCGCGCACTCATAATGTATCAATAATACTGCGGTACGCTTTGTACAGAATTTCAATTAAACTTTGACAGAATTATTATATTGATAGACGGACGCCATGTTGAATTATTGATTGGATACCGTCGTAGTAGAATTTTTTAAAGGAATTATAACATAATACTGTTGTAATTAAGTTGTGTTACTTAATATTAAATTGTATGAAGGCGATAAAATCTACAATTGTTAGCGTTTTATTGCAGAATGTAATTATACTTTAGGGTTCTGCTAAAATGTTGAGAATAGCCCTCGTTACCGGTATCTGTGGCAGATTTTTGCGCGCGCTTTTAGCTGTCACTGGTGACATTAAAGAAAAATTAGAAGTTTTTTTAGTTTTTTTATATCATCTTATTATTGTTTAAGTAGTTTATTTTATTAACAGCTTTATACTTAGTTTTGAATTAGAAACCCTACCTGAAATTAAAATAAAGTGCAGACAAGACAAATTCAGGGATATGATATATCCCGTCGGAAAAAGTAAGACGTTTTTAAATAAGTCCAAGATGCCTACCTATTTATTTATTCAATAAAGTTTTGAATTTTGTAAAATTAATTCAGACAGTGAAATTTGGTTAGTTTTTACAATTACTGAAACACTATTAAGAAACTAGATTTTTTTAGGAGAACTATCATCCAATGGCTTCTCCCGCCCGGGTGCGGCTAAAGGGAGTGTCAGACTCTTACTGACTAGGACAAAAATGTAAGATAACCTTAAAGCTTCTATTTTTTATCTTTAGTACTAAATAAAATATACGGAATCATTTTGATGACAGATCAGAATATTTTTTTTTAATCAGCCTATGTAATCAAGTTTCAATCCAATTTTAGTCACACCTAATATAATATCAATAATTATTTCAAAATTGTAATTATTCAATCAAATAACCACCTAATTTTTAATCACTTTTTTAAATTAATTTATAAACTTATAATTGTGAAATTTAATTATGATTAACGATTATTGTAAGTAATAATAATTACTTAAAACTTTTACGGTTTTACGATTACCTACCGCTTTTCAAATAGGTAAATTTTGAATAAATATTATTTTTTATTGTGATTATTGAGTTAACAAGTAGTAATAGGTAGGTATAATTAATTAACATTTTTTATTATCATAACATCACGCCTTTTATCTTCAAAGGAGTAGGCAGAGGTGCACATTACTGCACTTAATGCCACTGTACCATGAAACACCCGGTTTTCACTATTTATGTTATAAGTCCCATATGATAGGAGGTGAGCCTATTGCCATATACCGGGCATAAGTAATTCCCGACTCCGTCTAGTTTTAATATTTTTTTTTTTTATATTAGATGGGCCGACGTTTGACCACTATCTCGCCTGGTGGTAAGCGATGATGCGGTCTACGATGGAGCTCGTCGTCCCTTAAACAACCTATTCACTCGGGCCTTGAAGACACCCAGGTACCCTTCAGGAAATACAGACTCTGGCAAAGAATTCCACTCCTTAACAGTACGCAGTGTCGTGGTGGCCCGGAGGTTTAAGACGCCCACTTCTCATGCATGAGGGTGCGGGTTCGAAACCTACCAACGGCAAGTACCAATGTGACTTTTTCCGAGTTATATGTACTTTCTAAGATTATTTAGACACCACTGACAAACGGTGAAGGAAAAACATCGTGAGGAAACCTGGACTTATAATTTCTAATTATAAGTTTGAAATCGCCAACCCGCATTGAGCCAGCGTGGTGATTAATGCTCTAACCTTCTCCGTGTGAGAAGAGGCTTTGCTCAGCAGTGGGCATTTATAGGCTGTTAATGATGATGATGATGAACAGTACGCACAAGGAAGCTTGATGCGAAACGCTTCGTGCGTGTGGGTGGGACATCTACCATGAATAGAAAATACGGTACACATATTGACGGTGACTTCTAATTTGATTTTCTCAAATAAATAAATTAAGCAATGAATGGACTGATGTTCCGTAACATACCTATTTAACCGACTGTTACAATAGATATTGTGTTATTCGCTATTCAAATAGTGGATGGGACGGACGTATTGTGTTTGAACCTCCATGTTTAATTGTCAAGGATATTTGTTATTTCTTTGATAAGTAGTTGCCATGACAACGGCAGACACGGATTGGCTGAGGTCTATAGATCTGCTAGGGTGCCGGTAAGGTCACCGTATTAAATTGGGTAATGCCAACTAGTCAAATTCAATACTTTTTTCGGAATATCGACAAAAAACGACAGTTTTCTATGAATTTTGTACGAGATTGTGTATTGTGACGTCACGTTTTTTTAGCGTCAAAAAGCATACTTATTTCTTAAAAAATTCTGGGAAAATACTAAAATTAAGTTGGTCATAAAATCAATTAGATAATGAAAGTGTGATTTTTTTTTAATACGTATTTTATTGTATTGAATAGTGAAAATAATTTATTTTTGATTTAGCAAAAGTACCCAATTGTGGCTCTGGCTTGACGCAGGAGTAGGAACGGGGTGGTGTTTAGTCAGTAAGAGTCTGACACTCCCTCTCACCTCACCTAGGCGGGAGAAGTCATTTGATGGTTTTAAATCCTCAAAGGTGTGATTTCTTTATCGTTTCCATCATGGAGGTACACTTGATTCCCCCTAGTCCTTTCCATCATCGTACCACAAGACAATCGGCGACGCTATACCAATTCATGGTCAATGTCCCACCCACACGCACGAAGCGCTTCACATCAAGCTTCCTTATACGTACTGCTAAGGAGTGGAATTCTTTGCCAGATTCTATTTCCTGAAGGGTATAACCTGGGAGTCTTCAAGGCCCGAGTGAATAGGTTGCTTATGGGTCGACGTGCTCTATCGTAGACCGCATCATCGCTTACCACCAGGCGAGATAGTGGTCAAACGTCGGCCCAACAAATATATACCTAAAAAAAAAGAATCAAACTTGTTGAGCGGACCTATTCTAACGGATTTTTGGTTACAAATAGCAAAAGACACAAGGAATCAACAAAAGTACTTTTTTACATATGTCATACATACATTACTTCACGCTTGTCTCCCATGGGGGTAGGCAGGGGCTAAGGAACGCCAATTACTACGATTCTTACATACCTATTTCGCTTCATTAACAGTCATCAATCTTTTCATGCATGCTCGTCGGTTAAGGGTACTTTTAGTTTGGCCCTTCTTTAATATATCGCCAATCTGGTCACTATATGTCCATCTAGGGCGCCCTCTACCGACATCCCCATTCATATCCGCTCTGTATACTTCTTTCGTTACTCTACTTTCATCCATCCTTTCTACATGTCCAAACCAGCGTAACATTCCCTTTTCAATCCTTGTCACTACATCATCTTTTACATATGTCAATATACTGTAAAGTAATTTAAAAATACTAACGACCCATTCTTTAAAATACAAGCTAAAGTTAACAAAGTTTAACGATTCGTCACTAATATCAAGAAGCTGAGTATAATGTCTACCGCTGCTTACCCACTATAGAAAATGAAAATGATCATACAAATCGCACAACAACATAGACCCATTTTTTGAAACATCTCTAATCAATTCTCGTACTTATAACTTGGGTATTAAGATTGAATATCTGTTGAAGTTACGGCGTATATTGACGTGCTGTGTGTGTGTATATGACTGTTTTTTAAATTATATATTGTTGTACTGAAGAACAATGGTATATTAACATAAGTGCAAGTGTCATACATTATTATAACAATATGTTTTTGGAAAGTACTATCGGTGTATTCGTTTGGTGTTTATGCAGATTTTTTTAGTTTGGTTAGGTAGTTAATATACCACATATAACTTCACGCTTTTTATCTCCGAAGGGGTTTTTTTTAAGTGAGGAAAATTTTCGAAGGACGGAGTGTCAGACTCTTACTGACGAAAAACCACCTCGTTCCTTCTCCTGCACGTCGAGCCGGAGCCCCGGTAACCCGTTAGGCTCTCCGCGACATCCCCGACGGGATAGGCAGAGGTGCACATTATGCCACTGTACTTGTCACACCCACTTTTCACTATTAATGTTATGAGTCCCATGTAATACTTAGGGGGTGAGCCTATTGCCATATACCGGGCACAATTTCAGACTCCGTGCTACCCCTAAGAATTTTTTTAAAACCCAGTAGTCCTTTGTTCGACTTGGACGAACCCGAGACCCCTTGCCGCAACTTCTTCATCATTTCACTTCGAGTCAAGTCAAGTCGCACTTGCAGTCAGTCGGCGAACCTTTTAACGCCTTGGAACACCTAACGCGTTCAATTGTAACGCCTTTGGTGTTCCAGGTGTCCATGTGTCATCCGGGCGACGCCGATTGCTTACCATCAGGTGATCTGTCTGCTCGTTTTACTTAGTTATTTATTTTTAATTCAGTTTTAGTTCGTCTGTTCGTTTACCGCTTATTACAAAAAAATGAGAAAAGACTCATAACCTCCTTTTATTTGTCTATTGTCGTCGCTTAATTAACATAAGCGTAAGTGTTAGACAGTTAATGTTGCC